TATGGTAGATGTTCCAAATAAAGTATGAGAAATTACCATAAAAATATAAAAAGCAAGTCCTCAAATAAAATAACTTGATAAAAAAGACAGTATTTCTAGGTATGAACTTTTTATTACTAAGTGAAATGTTTATTTACTTTTTCTCTTAGTGATATATGATTATTTCTTGAACATTCAAACCATTGAACACTGTCATACAATACATTCCTACAATTATAGTGATCTGTTTACAATGATCAAACTTCCTTGACGTGACAATGTCTGCCAATTTTTGAAGAGAGAAAGGTTTTTTGCTCTTTTGTGTTGAGTCAATAATAAAAAATAAAACAATTTCTCAGCCAGGCTTCCCCTTCACAAATCCCAATCAGCTCACCTAAAAACCAAGATAAAACAGAAATCCTTGAGATGCTCTCCTCATCTTTCTTCTGGTCACTGAGTATGTCTTCAAGGCTGACAGTAATGATCAAGTTGTGCTGTTTTCACCCACATAAAGTATTCCTGAAGGAGCGGGAGGAGACAGTGACATTTTGCCCTGGTACCCCCCTCCCCCACTCCCCTCGCTGGTGACACTCTGATCATGGCGTCAAATGGGTTTTGATCAGTCAGCTCTCCATTGTCTGCATTGTCAATCTTCTGCTATAAATCTTGCTTTCGAGTTCTGCTGGGATAATAAGGCTTGATATATGTGCGCACAGCTAACTATCTTTTATTTTTGCCTTCCCATACAGCCTGCCACCCAGCAGGAGGCTCTTCAAAACTCGGTCAGCTACCTTCCCTAACCCAGCAAAGGTGTGAAAATAGAGTCAAATCAAAGTAGCAGTGCTGAGTTGTATTTTGGCTGATTCATCATGTGAACTCTTCCTCACTATTGTTCTTGGGATAGTCAGGGGCAGGGAGTGACTGTATTTAGGGAGTACAGTAGAGAGGTTGCACACTTTCAGCTTCTCTAAATGACATCAGTGCAACACCAAATGGCTTCCTGATAGAGTTTGTTCAGGCTTGGCTCCTTCAAAGAACACACTGCTGACTTCAGAAGCAACAGACAGCAAGAAGGAAGTCACATTATCTAAGATTCTACTAGTTTCACAAACATTATCATCAGGAACCTCCAAAACATATATACAATTTTTTTTTGCATGTGATTTTCACTTGTATTAAGCTGGTAGACGACCTCTTTTTGCGGAACATCACTTATTTCAGGCATTGTAATTCTTCATAGGATACTGATCTGAGTGGGAAAAACGTAAGAGCTAAAGAGAATCAGAAAGGAGAAATCCCAGCCAGAGGCCTCAGTGTCCATTTCTCATATGTGGAAATACCACGCAAGTAGCCTCTGATGTTTAAACCACAGATATTCTAGTGTTTTGGTCCTGTCTGCACTGACTGCTTAGAAGTTTGGAAGTTAGCTTGCTATCACGGATTCAAAGTGCTACAAATTCACAGAACAAACATTCTGAAGCCACATGGTACTGGATCATCCTTGGTGCTGCCCCCTTTCAATTAGCCAGGTAATCCAACAAAGAAACACATCCTGTCTAGCAAAGGCTCTCGTCCAGGAAGAAAACTAACACTGGCACCATAATAAAGACCTGACTAATCCACCTGAAATTCATTTACATTTTGATATCTTATACTGAATTAATTTTGATTTCTGAGGGCTTTTGTATCTCTGGGGAATGTCAAATTAGCCCTGAGGAAGGGAAGTTCAAATCACAAAAGACAATGTCTTTAGTCTAAAATGTTATGTGCAATGCCTTGTGCCTCCCACTCGCCATTACCTATGAGATAATACACTTTAAACTTGCTAAAAACGAAGAGACAACGCTAATCATCCAAACTAGACCTTTCTTACTGTGGACTTTCCTACAGGCAATGCTGCAGACTTCTGGAAAGTTCAGGGACCCCACTAATTAATAATATCAAGAGAAAATAGAAGCTTTAATACTTTATTTTGCCCATCCAAAAGTATCAGTGGTATAGCCATAACTCTTGGCATCAGCAAGGACTGCACACCTACCTAACTATCTTGTTAGGACCTTTTTGGTCTCATATGACAAAGACTTGCACTAGGCAGTCACTGTCTTCTGGCAGGGAGTGAGGCAAAGAAAGAGGGGGAAAAAGCCCAGCAATTACTGTTCCGTACTCAAATATGCCTGCCAACAGAACAGTGATTTGTAAGACACATCGAGAGATGCTGGCAAGATCAATCTGTGGCGATCCCTCTGATAGAGGAATAATGAGTTGACAAAGACCAATGTTCAGTTGGGTCCAAGCCCAATAAGATTACTGTTCAGCATCATCAATATTGTCTCTGTTTGGAACTGACACAATCAGACTGGAATCAATTGTATTTTCCACAACACTGGCACACATGATTTTAAACTTTGGCTCACAACTCTGTAGAGAAGCTTGCAGATGTTGGCAGATTTTTGCCAACTTAAGGGGTGTCATTATTAAGTAGGAGTTTCACCCAACAGTAATTTGGGGTTGTTTCTCTGAGGTTTACATATTGAAAAGAGCAGACAAGGAGGAAGAGATGGAGAAGATAAGGGATTAAGAGATTTTTTTTTTGCTTAAACCCTCCCTTTTTTGTTTTTTTAGTGTAATGACCAAATACAACATGTAAATGTGTAGGCTATTTCTTAGCATCAGCTTTAGTTGGGGATCAAAGATTTTTCCTGAAACATAGAATCATGAAAATTTTTTCAGCTCTGAAGCAACATAATAACATTGTTATGTTTCACCATCAAAAGGCAGACGGGATAAGTAGATGGCTCTGTCTTGAAAATATTAGAAGTTGTTCAAGGGGTTGGAAAATCTAATAAGCAATTTGATTCTTAAGCAATTCCTGCAGTCCCCTCCAATGTGTTTTATAAGCCATTACTCCCACCACAGAAAGCTATCAACTTCACGTTTCATGGGTTTCATTTATGTCTTAAGCCCCTGCCCATATGGGTATCTCCAACCTCTGATACTAGCTGACTTATACAACCATCCAAAGTGCCATGCAATATACAGCCACAGAATTAAATCCTGTATAATTTAATAAGAAATAGGTCCTGGATTTCTCTTTTGCTACAAGCATACAGAAAAATGACTGCCGAATCTTTCCCACTGTCCATCTAAATATATACTTCTTGAGCAACAAGTGCTATAGAAAGAACCAAATTTGCAGTGCAGACTCCCCAGTTCAATAGGTTTACATTTTACTTAACAAACTCAGGTCTTTAAACCATATTAAAACTGTCAGTAGTCCTGTCCTTACCAAACTAATCACAGTCACTGTAAGGTCTCTCTCCCCACTTCAGGATGACTTCAGTGTTCCATAATTTCATGCAAAGCAGACATTTACAGTGGTCTTTCCGATCTGTGATTACCACCACTGACTACCTTCAAAGCCCATGTTGTCCCCGAGAGGCTGGTTTATGCCTACCTTTTTCAGCAGAACATCTTCGTGGAATTTTGAACCTTGGTAGCTGTAGCCCAGCCTTCCTAGGTGAATCACACCTAAGTCATTTCCTTTTGAGCCTCTGCCTCCCCACCCTTAGGCCCTGTGAAAAAGTGGAAGGGCCTACTCCGAGGTACCCTAACCACTGCTGCTTTGCTTCCTGGGGAAATCTCCCTTTCCTTTTCCTAGAAGCCTCTCAACTTCTCTCCATTTCCTTGGGATAATCCCCTCAAGGAGTTCCAGTTAGAAAACAAAGCAAAAAAGGAACTTGTCGTTGGATTATTTGAATTTTGACTCCATCACAATGGGTCCCAGAACAAAAAGGGGAGGTTACCCTCTCAAGGTGGGGTTCGAAAAATGAGAAAACACAAATTAAAATTTCAATAAATTATTCTGTCAACCTACAGCTAGGTGGCCTTGGAGAAGTCACAGTAAAAGCCCCAGTACCTCTAAGTCTCATCAGAATTTTACATCTAAAAAAGAAAAAACAAAACATTTCTGCAGGTCAAAAGAGGGCAAGCATACGAAAATGTTTTGATGTTAAATATTAGTAGTAACAGTTATTCTTGATTTTTTTAATGCCCCTTGCAAAGCAGATGCCAATTTATAGCTGGGAGACAGAAGACAGAAGAGTCCAGTCTTCCATATACTATTTCTTATGTAGTTTGGATTTGGTCTGAACTATACTGAATTCCATGCTATCTAAAATCCCTGGAGACTCTGCAAAGGCATCACTTTTAGCACTCCTCTGGCTAAGAATGCCAGTGGCTCCATTAGACAAACTCCCATAGGAACACCTCCATTCTCTGGGGTTCTCCCGACATCAGTTTGGCCTTAAAGATTATGAGCATCTAGGGAAGCAGTGGAGAAATGTCAGCGTGTGTGTTCGATTTGAATCTCTGTGTGAGTGTTGAAGACTTCAGCGTCTCTAAAGGGTATTTAAGTAAATGCCAATGTTCAGGGCTGACTTTATATACAAGCGGGTTAGGCCTCTACCTATTTGACTTAAATGTAAGCATCCTTGGCTGGAAATGGAACTCCTATGAGGTAGTGCTCCAACCCTAGAAACACTTTTAAAATGTTGAATTTGACCTGGTTAAGATATTGCTTTATACTTTCCTAGGTATACAGTGGCAAGAATGGACTTATCTGACCATCACACACCAGGATTTGGGTTTTAAAAGTCCAGGAAAGAGGAGTAGTATATTATCATATGAAGGGAAGAGGAAGTCAAAGCACAGATGGGGGCGGGGTTATGGTGGGTGCTGAGTAAAACAGGTAGAATACCAAAGCAGAAGGCCTTCTGCATCTAGAAGACAGATGGTCCTAGGTACTAGGTAGGAGAGCAACAAAGAGAAATGCCAGGCAAAGACAAAGCAGGAAAAATACATGATTTATCTGTGCCACAATTGCTTGGCAGGGTCTTTCCCCCATTCACATTTGACTCCACTGAAATTAGTTAAGCATTCATATCACAGACATGTATTTTTTACTCATTAAAATATGACAAATGTGACCTGAAATGGCTCCTCTAACACTAGTAACCTCCTACCTGGTTTGTAGACCTTTAGTTCAACATGCTCTGAGCCTCAATTTCTTCACCAGGAAACTGATGATAGTTGTATCTGTAGGGATAGGCAGAACAGATCTAAGTACAAATTTCAGAGCCCCAACCATTTCCCTTTTAAATAAGAAGTGACAATTCCTTTTCACAATTTTTCTGGCAAGAACAGAAGTTATGTTAACCTGTAAGTTAACTTGTGATAAAGGTGGCATCCATTCTAAAGCAGGACAGGCTCATTGTTCTAGGTCTGTCTCCTGATTAGAGTATCCAAAGTGAAAATCACACTTTAGAGGTTCCTGTAGCTGGTCTAATGTGTTCCCATGTGCATCACATTTTTTTTCTACAAATTCCATTGATGGGCAACTGTAATGAGAACCCCAGGGAAGATACAACCCCTACAACATGAACTGACATTTACAAATGTTCCTTTACTTTCCACCTTTTTCTGCTTTTTCAGATTCCACCCAGATAATGACAATCAGAATTGAAATTAGGAGTATTCAGTGAATCACTCAGTTCTTTGCTAGAATGGTGGTCTGACCCCTCTGTAGAGTTGTTCTTAAATTATGTTTATAGCAAACAACTGGAGGAAAAAAAAAATTTAACACAGATGAGTCCTGAGGTCTTTCTATCCAGTCACTTCTTCTGTAAGCTTTCCAGAAAATACTCTAGATTTAATGATTAAGAACTACATATTGCCTCTTCATTCTTGTATGCTGCAATTCAATGTTATTTTCTACTCGATATGCCAAATCTCATGACCTGAATAGATTTAATTTGGTGTTGTTTTCTGAAGGTAAATAGCAAGGTATCATTAAAGAAACTTTTTCAGAATTATTATATGCCTAATGATAGTCCAGAACCTCAGTTTTACCAAATTGTACAAGTATTATAATGAAACATATGTATATATTATATACCAGGGATCAAAAATTTTATGGAAAATGTATATTATGAAAAAACTATGCATGGATTTCAAAATTTTTTACATCAAAGTCAACTCATATTAACTTGTTAAAACATGTCTGAAAAAGATCTAACTTGAGGCACTAAGAAGGCTAAGACATCAGTTGGAAAAGAGCCCCTTATCAGAAAATCATGAATTCTGCTAAAATTGAAGCAATGTTACCAGAAAGAGATTCTCCCTGATCCAGACCCCAAGAGAGGGTTCTTGGATCTTGCCCAAGAAAGAATTCAGGGTGAGTCCATAAAGTGAAAGCAAGTTTATTAATTAAAGGAATAAATAACGGCTACTCTGTAGATGGAGCAGCCTTGAGGGCTACTGTTTGCCCATTTTTATGGTTATTTCTTGATTATATGCTAAATAAGGGGTGATTTACGCCTCCCCTTTTTAGACCATATAGGGTAACTTCCTGATGTTGCCATGGCATTTGTAAACTATCATGGCACTAATGGGAATGTGGCAGTGAGGACAACTAGAGGTCACTCTCGTGGCCATCTTGGTATTGGTGGATTTTAGCAGGCTTCCTTACTGCAACCTGTTTTATCAGCAAGGTCTTTATGACTTGTATCTTGTGCTGACCTATCTCATCCTGTGACAGAATGCCTTAACCATCTGGGAATGCAGTCCAGTAGGTTTCAGACTCATTTTACCCAGCCCCTATGCAACACAGAATTGCTCTTGTTCAAATGCCTCTAACACAAGGACAAACATCAAATTTATAGTGAAGCTTGGATAGAAGAAAGGTGAAATCACTGATGTTTTATGAAAAGTTTATGAGGACAATACCTCAAAGAAATCAGCAATTTGTAAGTGAATAACTCATTTTAAGAATGGAGACGATGTTGAAAACGAAACCCACAGCAATAGACCATTTACATCTTTTACAGGGAAAACAATTTTGTCCATGCCGTAAGTAAAGAGGACTGACATTTGACAGCAGAAACAATAGGCAATACCAGATATCTCAACTGGTCCAGCTTATACAATTCTGACTGAAAAATTAGTTAAGTAAACTTTCCACTCAATGGGTGTCAAAATGGATCACCCAGATTAGCCTCAGACAAGATCAGAGTTTTCAATGGAAATTTTAAACAAATGGCAGCAAGATCATAAAGCATTTATTTAAAGAATTGTAACAAAAGATGAAACATGGCGCTACCAGTAAAATCCTCAAGATGAAGCATAACCAAAGCAATGACTACCAAGATGAGGAAGTGGTCAAGCAAAAGCAGACTCATCAACAGCAAAGGTCCTGGCAACAGTTTTCTGGGATGCACAAAGTATTTTGTTTGTTGACTTTCTCATGATCCAGAGAACAATAGCATCTGCCTATTATGCAAGTATTATTGAGAAAGCCAGCCAAAGCTTTACCAGAAAAACACCCAGAAACCTTCACCAGTGTCCTGCACCATGAAAATGTTCCTGCAAACATGGGTAATTTTGTGAGTTTCAGTGAAAAATCATTAGGCATTTACTTTATTGTCCTGATTTGGCACCAACTGATATTTTTGTTTCCTAGTCTTAAATATTTAAAGGTCACCCATATTTCTTCAGTTAATAATGTAAAAACCAGTGCACTGACATGGTTAAATTCTCAGTTCTTTAGGCATAAACTAAATGGTTGGTATTATTGCTTACAAAAGCATCTTGAACTTGGTGGAGCTTATGTTGATAAATAAAGTCTATATTATCTTTTAATTCCATTTTTTTCAAAAACATTTTGAAGTTCCCTCATAATTTTAATTTTATGCTCATAAAAAATTGACATGTTTATTTACATGTATTTTTATATTTCCCCAAATAACAAAAAGGAATTTTGTTGGAGGTCTTTTTGTTACATGTTTTTCATAAGTCAGTGCACATTAACCCTCCACCCACCACCCAGTGTTCTGCATCTATTATAGCTTTCCTTGCAATATTGCTCTAACTGGTGAAAAACTAAAATGGAGGAATAGATAATAAGGTAATCTGTTTCTTAGCTTATGATTCTATGTAGTTCAATTGTTCCTCTATTAAGTCATTTCCCCCAATGCTCCTTGGGTGTGAGAAGGAACTTTGTAGCCTGAAAATCCCTTGTTAGTTCATATCTTCCTCAGTTATCTGCTTCAGGATGTGAACTGCCAACATTAACAATAAGAAAATGTGGAGTTTCTCATAAGTCATAGCTGTGCTTCATGTTAAGGAAAAGTAGGGTACCAGGATAATTAAGAGCATGGCTCTGGTGCCAGATGGTTCTGGTGCAAACCATCACCTTGCCATTTATTAGCTACCAGACCCTCTATTTCAGTATCTTCATCTGTATAATGAAAATAACAGTATATGTCTCACAGGAATTCTGTAGGACTAAGTGAATTAATATATGCAAAGCACATGGAACAATGTTTGGGACATGGACAGCAACAATTGTTAGTTATTTTATGAGAAAATATAGATGATGTGTTAAGAAATTAAATACTTTATATATGGTGAACCCTCATTATAGATATTAAATGTTATTTATTAAAACCCTAAATTAGGTTTTAAATCTGCTAATAAATTACATTTAAATAATTTAAAGCCTAATAATATGGAAAGATTTCTAGGAGTATATTCACAAGTTTTGAAAGAATATTGAGTTATTTCAGTTAATTCCAACAGAACAGAAGGGATAAGGAAAAGGATAAAGCAAACTAGGAACCACAAACTAGAAGGGAATGAATTGCAGACTTTGAGACAAAGTATACCTGGTGAAGGGAAATTCAATAAATGAGTATTTAAACAGGCATTCAGGAATCTTACATAACCTAATGCAGAATGCAGGATGATGATTCAAGACCTATAATCAACGAGACAAGACAATCTACATAATGTTGATTTATTTATCATCTTAGCTAGGCAGGCGCTGGGTGAGATCTATAAGCAGGTAATAGGGAAGAGGGGCCCAAACTAGAGGTAAGATATAAAATCAAACTCCTGACATTAGAAGGAAAGTGATGAGAATGAAATGTACAAATCTTTATAGCATCACCACAGGAACTCAAGTCTAGGGAATAATGGAGATCTAGTCATGAGAAGTGGAGCATAAATTGGCGGTTAGTTCCTAAGCTAGTGGTAGGCTCCAGGGAAAAGACCCAATTTTCAGAGTCTGCGAGTTTTCACAGTGTAAATGCTCTCAACATGGCTGACTGCAAGCTACTTAGGTGACATCATCTGGCTTGTGAAATTCCTGGGAAATTAACAATTGGCTCTCATGAGCCAGTGTAAGTCAGCTCCATCATACCTGGAAGCCTGGTTTTCAAAATGTCAAAAGGTTAAGAGACAGGCAAGGAGTATATCGATGCTGAATCCCCAAGTGGTGAGCTAGAACTTCTTCACTCCTCCTGCCAAAAATCAAGTTTGATCTTGAAAAATGAGACAAGGCTGAGCTTTTAGAATGGGTAATCAGGTAGCCCCACTTAAAATTAGCAAGCCTGGAAAAAATCTGGGCTGACTCCCCTACAGCTGGCCCCCATATCTGCATGGTTTTAATCAGAAAAAGTGAGTCCATGTAATCCTCAGCCACTAACACTAGCTGACTAGCCAGTTCAGGCTCAACACAGACTATCCTGATTAGCAGCAGGGACTACTGATTCCATGACAGAAACTGAATCGATAAATGTTCTTTTAGGAAAGAAAATGCTATTTCATTTTTACTCATAAATTATCCTGCTTTTCCAGAATAAAGTTAAAAAACAACCGGTGACAATAACATTAATAGTTAGCATTACTTGAGAAAATGCTGCATGACTGGCACAGTCCTAGGCTCTTTACTTTTGTGAACCATACTACCCACTAGTGAAGTGGTTTCAATCACTAGTCCCTGGAGCCCAGAGCCTCTTGGAAATGCCAGGGGGTCGGGGGTAAACTGAGGAGGGAAGAGAAAACCAAGTTGCTGAGGCTTTTCATTCTGATTTTCACTTACACAGAGTCTCTCCATTTTCATCTGTTTATATACTGAAGTTTCATAGATTTCTTTCCAAAACAGGCCTCTATTTTGTTTAAATTGAGGGGAAAAAAAACTTAAAGTAATCCTACAATTTCACTTTTTTCTTGCTATAAAAATTTTTTTAAAATCTAAGATAAAAGACATAATATTACCTATATATATATATATCTGTACCTCCCTAAGGTTATTACCTTTCAGAAGTTTTGGGGGTTTTATGTACACTTAGGGTAGATTTTAATTTCTATATTTAACGTCTGAGTAAATTTATACTTCCTCAGAGTATAAACAGGTGAGCAGGGATCCTAACTGAGGTTTTTCTTTTATGTTCTTATTGACAAAAATAGGCAGTTACTTATTCTCTCATACAAAGGCCTTATAAATTGGTCCCTTTGTCTTTCTGTGAAATCCAGTGGTACACCTAAGGATGACATTCACCTCTGCCCAGACTACCACTTACATCTAAGTCAACTGTCCCCCAGAGGAGGAAGCCCCCACATTAAATTCCATAAAATACACTCTCATGGGAAGGGAATAGACCAGATGGTTGATGCTCTGGCCCCATGGGTTCATATAGTTCTTAAATGTTATCTCCTCCTTAGGCCAGGCTTTTATCATTAAGCATTAATACTATTTAAAAGGGATAAAAGATTGTCAAACTATGGAAGATTTCAAGAGCAAATAAATGTGAGTTTATCAATTTCAGAGTCAAAGAATATTAAAAATTAAATTAAAAATATACAATTAACTTAATACATTTTGAATTTGGACTAATTGTTTGAAATTCAAAAGGACCCCAGGATATTTTTTACTTGAAACACAGAAATAAAAAATTTATACTAAACAGGCAGAGTTTGCCCTCAAGGTTGAAAACATTAATCACCATGCATCTAACTGTTAACTGTAAAAAATCATTTTTCTTCTGATTTAAAGGGAATTATTTAGTGAATGTTTTTAACTTCTCTGCTTTCTCAAGCAGAGGCAGTAACATGGGGTCAGGTTCTGGCCTCCTATGCCCCTTCACGTCCCCATTCTCTACAAGGAGCTGCCTTTGATATACAAAAGGGAGCTCCCTAGCCCAAAGAATGCACAAAGCCCAGGAAGAAATGAGGCTCTGTAAGCAATGTAATTGAGATTCAGTGACCAAATTCAGGAAATAATTGGAGTTGAACAGTCTTTTAAGACTAAGGTATATTTTGGCCCCACATAAAGATGAACTTGAGGCAT